GGGATCTTTGTAATTTAATGCTTTGAGATAGTTGTGCACTGCGGAGGAATAAGAGGCTTTAGAAGGATTTCTCATTTCTTATTATATCAAAATAATTGTCAAATTAAGCAAGAACAAACACTTTAAAGCACAACAATTCATTTAAAATTTCTTAGAATTCCACTCTACTACTAGTAATTTTCTTTTTTGTTATTTTTTTTTTTTCAAATACAAAGCAACTTCCTCTTCTTGAAAGTTAACCCATTCAGTGATTTGAGATTTGCCCACGCTTGTCTGTGTGTTCACTCCTGTGTCTGTGTGTTGCTGTATGTGTGTGCGTGTCTCTTTCATGTTTGGCTTAGATTTTGGCAGCCCGCCGTACTCTGCCATGCATACGGAAACATGCAGGAGTGGGCCTGGAATCAAGGTCAGGCCTGGAAAACAATGTAGGAGCACTCCGAAGACCTGACTTTCTGCTGAGTTTGGCATTGTGCTACGTGTCCCCCGAGGCCGCAGCCACGAAGTCGGCCATCATGCGCATCCAGACCAACCTGTAATGAGCTCCTGGAAAATGGTCCTACTTGGAGACGGTGTTTGGAGACTCTTGGCATGCTGGTAATGTCGAAGGGACTACATGGTCTTTTGGCACAAACGTGGGGCCTTCAACCTCCCAAGGATTACAGGTAACTAAGCAGAAGCCTTCATTGTAGAATGCACTCATGAAAAAACTAAATAAATCCTGAAGAAATTAGAAATTCTTTCACCATAAAATTATTTTTCTGATATGAAAAACACATCTTCACTTGCAACATAACAATCATTCAATCCTCATTTCAAAGCTCCCATTTTATTTCCGAAAATGTCAAGAGGCAAGAGGTACAGGCTGAAAGTACAAAGAGACGCAGATCAGAGAGCCCCCATACCACTTTTGTGCTGACCTTAAAAGGAGCGGCGCACTGTGCAAACATCTGGTCCATCAGCTGGATCCTATGCATCAGCGGGCACAGGGACACACTGGGACAGGTTGGCGGCTGCCTTTGACAGCAACAGTTAATTTCCAACATAATCAATTTATGTGCAGCTCCATAATAACCATCTGTGTTCTGCACGAGGAGGACAGTCCTGAGGAACAGAACGGCGCTGGCTGCTCCTCCTCTCCATGAGCGACGCCGCGAGCAAAAGGGAGGAGAAGGAAGTAGAGGAGGCGGAAGGAAAAGTAGAGGAGTAGTTAAGGAGATGGATGGGGGGGGGTTAAGATGTGTGGGGGGATGATGGAAAAGCGAAGAAGTAGTAGAGGGAAGAGTTCTTCCATTATCCTTTACAGATGTAAAGGGAAGGGAAGGGGGAAGGGAAGGGGGGAAGGGGAGAAGGAAAGGAAGAGGGAAGGGAAGGGAAGGGAAGAAGGAAGGAAGGGAAGGTGTTTATATTAAATCAAGCTTTTTATATTAAATCAAACTTCACTGTAACTGTCTTAATTAACGAATCAGTTCCAGATCAGTTTGAATGTATTGCTGTTGATGTTAATGCAGGATGTATGAACTTCACAATGGTGGGGGCCTATCGTCCCCCAAATGCTCTCCCTTGTGCAGTTCTCAATCTAGCTGGTCCCATTACACACTTAAGGGTGTACTAGTTTTTTTTTTCATTTAAAGAAAGATAATAAGTATCCTTCCTTTAATCTATCTGACAAAAAAAACTTTTCAAACTATTTTAAAATTTGCTATATACTGTAAGTACTCCTTTACTATTGTTTTCATCACATACTTAGCAAATCATTTTTAAGCACTTCCAACCGAAAATAATCAGGGTCTTCACCATTTTTGGTGTTCATCCTTTTTGTAGGCTGGGGTTCCATTTACGTTCCGAGCAATGACTTTAATCTATAATAAGGATAATATCACATCCATGCAGATTATCATGTTATGTTGATTCTGTGTTTTCATGTGGGCAGGTATTGTATGGGTACTTGGTTTAGGTCAACAAAGTTGAAATATCTAAGTCAGAGCTGGAAAGGAATAAAGGGTTTCTGAAAACCTCAGAAGAAGTGATGGTACATAGAAAACTAAAATAAAACCACAGGAAAAAAATCATTCAACAAAATAACCAGGAAAGTAAGTATTCAGGAAGAGGAGGTCAAAAAGTAAAGAGGGACAAGGAGAGATGATGAAACCAGATGAATATTTTAAGTATAGCTTAGAACAAGGACAATCTAAATGGTTGAGGTCATAAAGGATAGGAAAAGATTCTGTTTTTATTCTACCTTCTCATTTTATGATGCAAACACACTGAATGAAATTGGTACCCTCCATATTTCCCTGCCGTGAATTCAGTCGTCCTACAAGGTTAGCTCCCTTGGCACTTGAAGCCCATCGCATCCTCATCCACCTCCAACGTCAAAATTTGCCAGGGAAGGTGTCACTCAGGCGATTACTGAATCACCTTAGTGAGCCAATTACACTGCGCGCTGTCAAGGCCAATAGCAAATAGTGTCTCACACACAGACACCCACAGCTTGGCTAGTGTGAAACAAAACATGAAAACAGAATCAAGCTCGGGTGACCCCTCACCCCTCTACATGCAATTTTCATAAGAGTAATCAGCATAATGTGCTAGCTGCTGCAGATGAGTTGCTTTGACCTCAAAAGGGATGTTTTTTGTGAGGGGGCAAAACTTCTTATTGCATTTGGGGGACAATTTGGGTATGCAAATAAAGTAGAGAAGAATAAATCTTCAAGGCATTCATGTCCCCTTTGCATTCACAGCTTTGAGAACAAATATGGGAAATCTATGCTAAAATAGCATATTTATGCTAAAGGCACTTTGATATGGCTTGCAAATGATTTTGTAACTGTTCAATGACAAATTCAAACTCATCTATCGACAGGGCTTCTGCTTCGTCGCCTGACTCTTGAACAAAAAGCTCAATCAGTTAAGGACTGCAGTACAAGAGATGTCAGGAGATGTCAGTCAGATGGGATTTTCTAAGCTTATATGGTCCTCAGAAATGGTCTAAACAGCAGAGCTCTATTTTTTATCTAGATCTTCCTCTAGTTATGATCGTTATGTTCACTCACTGATATGTGTGGATGCTTACTAAGACCTGACTTTTATATGATTTCGGCTCTTTTTGCTTTTTATAAGCCAAACTTTTTGTAGAAATGGTAAACGTAATTTTTTTCCAAGATTTTTTAAACTCAGTATTCTGCTTCAGAGTGAACACTAAGGCATGGAACATTTTTTGGCTCAGGTGAAAAAAGAAAGAAGGGGAGAATTATTAGCTGTCACAACAATTTCACTTTCAATCTTTCTCAGACAGCCTCTCTTGATATTTTGTCTACATGTGTGAGCAACAAAAGAGCTAAGGTTTACTCTGAACAGCATTTACTTACATAAATTACAAGCACACTCAAGCACACACATACACACAAACTGGATTGAAAACATCATAAGCCAACTAACATCAAATTCACCTGCCAGAAAGAACCTCAGTGTGTGATCCTGAAATATATATATTTTTTTTATACACCATTACTACTGCTGCATCCAAGCTACTGGTAGACCTCAATACAGTCCATCCAACCTGTCATGCATTAAACATGTGCTGTGTGAATGTCCATGTGTCCCTGTACATCCTCTGCAGTCCTAATTGACATGCAGCGGGCCCGAGCAGCTGTGAAGCTTTCTGTGTGTGTGTGTGTGGGGGGGGTGTGTGTGTGTGCGTGTGTGTGTGAGAGTGTGTGCGTGTGTGTGTGTGTGTGGTTTGTATAGCTCTCAGTAAAGCCCCTGCATCCTCAAGGCCACCTGGACATAATGGCCTTCAGCTGCCACCATCACCACCAATACAAGCTGCAGCAAGAGCTGAGTTAAAGACACATGCAGCCGTTTCTTTTATCATACAAAGACCCATACCCATGTTTATATATGCCATTTAAACACACCCAAAATTCTGTGCATAAAAACACATACTGTAGAGTGTAAAAAAGTCATGGTGTCATAAATATCAGATATTCTGTGCAGCATCTTCAGTAAAGGTTGGTTGGTTCGTGTAAGGCCTCTGTTTGAAAGAAAAAAGAAGGAAGTTCATACATGTCCTTTGTTCCCAACGTATATGTGATTGAGTGTGTGTAAGTGGAAGAGGGGGAATTTTTTCCCTCATCTCCAAGTCTTGATTCTATATTTTTTTCTTTCCCTATATCAGAAGCCTTTGATTCTGTCCTGCTTCTCAATTCTTCATGGATCTCCAGCATTTCAAAGAGTTCTTCTTCTCTCCCCTCCTCCTTCCCGGGCGGAGTGCTGGCCAAGTCTGGGAGAGGGACTGCCCATCAGAGGTTGGCTGCTATCAGCAGGGGGCTGCATGTTTCCAATTCAGGTCAGCCTTGGCTACAGACGGGGACTTTAAAGCAAGCCACAACGCGTCCTGTGATCCCAGTAAGCACGCTTGTTAGTGGAATTGATAACGGACCCATACACCTGGGTCCTCTGAAGTTGGCATGGCATTTTAAAGGGGAAGACAGGGAGCCAGGGCAGCCAGATACCGCATGCAAACGTGTCGAACTGAGGAAGGGAGGGATGGGGGGGGGGAAAGGTCTTTTTGGCATGTGACGAAACAGAATATGTTTGGGGGAGCGACCTAGAACATTGTGGAATTATGTACAAATACAGGGCATATGGCATGGAATCATTCTGAGAATCCTAAATATGGTTGTTGGCTCTGTCATGTTACCCCCTGTCATTTTTCCTGCACAAAGTTTGAAAAACATTCAAATTAATCTATGAAACATACTTCAGTTCTATATGTTGCATTTTGCTGTTGCTATCGTACATTTTATGTGTATGTATGTGCATGTATGTTGGTTGCAGAAGTGCAGCTGATACAGTGGTGTCCCAGCATTCCCCTTCCCAAACAACACAAACACACATGCGCAATGCTCAGATGCCACATTTATGATAATCAGAGTATAATTCATTTATTGGGCCTACCTTTGCCATGTGTTGACCCCACGGCCATGTTGCCAGCTCACATCTGGCTGCGTGGTGCGGCTCTCAGTCCTGGATGGGATTTGCCCCTGGTGATGGGGCATCTGGGAGGCCAGATGAAGCCGAGGCTTGATGAGTGCTTTGTCTATTATGGATATGGGGCTTTATGGAGACATTGACAGCTGCACATTGACAGTCTCCTGAGCAGGAGGCCTACTTCAGCAGTTGTGCTCTTTCTGTTGTCTAGAACAGAGAGAAACAAACACAGAGCTCTGGATATCCTCTGTTAGCTTCTGCAGGTTTAAAGTAAAACCTTATTTCTAAAGGGAGAGGAAATAAGATGAATGATGTTCTTTCAGTTGATTCAGCCTATCTTAAACCTTGCAACATGGTTTGGTAAGAAATCTGGAGTCAGGAGGAACCTCCAGAATGAAAGAAATGCATTTTAAGTAGTTTGAACATTACCAATATCAGGCTTTATGCAATTATTTCGTGCTTCTCAAGGAAGTGAGCATGGGTAAGATGAACCCTCCAGTATCAATAAATGTTTCTTAAAATTAAACCAACATTCAAAATGAAGCGTGTACTGAATGAACCTATCAGTCCCTGTATCAGTCGTAATGGGTCGGATCAGTGGATGGAGAGAGCTTGACGGTGCGCTGATGAAAGATTATCCACCGAAGAGAGAGACGTGTAGCTACAGACCAGGCAAGCCGATGCTGCCGTTCTCCAACCTTCCCTCCTGCCCGCCATTTATGAAGGATTTGGGGATTTCATAATTTCCTGTTCTTTCTGAAAGGGGGATGGCAGCACCTGGTCCACACAGCTGTACTTCATTTAGAGAGCAATTTGAAAAGAGCGAGGGGGAGAGGAGAGGAGCGGAGCAGCCTTGTCATTAAGGGCTCCAGAATGGCCTCCGTTTGTTAGACACATGGCACGGAGTTAATGCTGCTGAATGGGGAATAGGCACTGTTGATGCTGTCACAAATTTCTCATAAGTGCTACGACATCTGAAAAAGCCACTCCAAGTGCAGGGGGGGTGGGGGGAGGGGGGGGAGAGAGAGAGAGAGAGAGATTCAAATTTTTCTTATCAAAGAGGGTTTTTTTTGTAGGTAATTGACAGCTGGGCTAGGATGTAAGCATGTGTTTCTGTCTGCTAAGATGGATATTCTATTTGTGTACCATTTCATCTTCTGCACACCTTGAAGTTTGTTGTGCTTGCAGGTGACAGCAGTGCTGAAGTTTGTTTCAATGAGTTGACAATGAGAATAATAAGCAGATTGTTGGTAAACTGAGGTGATGCAAAGGTTTGTAGTGCGGATGCACAGCTGCCTCGCCTCTTCAGAGTTGATCTAATTGATTTTGACGTGCACATGTGCAGGGGAGAAAAAAAAAGTGAGGCGGGATCAAAGGCAAACGCTTTATTGCCACATCACAGGCCCCTGCTGCATTTTCAATTCTACCAATCTGTCCAAACAGTCAGTTAAAATCCTGCCATGAAGAGATGCGCGCTCTCTTTTTCTCACTCACTTCAGCTCCCCCCTCCCATCCTACCGCTCTCCCTCTCTCCACTTCTCCTCCCTTCTTTGCTCTTTCCCTCTATTAGAGTGAATCTCGAGTGCTAAGTGATGCAAGAGCCATGAGGGCAGTGGGAAAACACTGATCCACAGAGGTGAAAACAACTGCCACAACAACTTGTCAGCAACTTGACAGAACTATAACAGGAGGCGTAAAAAAAATAAAGTAATTATAGAAACTGACACAATTCCACTGATTTACCTTGAATTTTGGCAAAGTGACCCTTCTGTGTCTTTTTACATTTATTACTAGTGTTTCTCAGCTTTGAAATGAGTAGATATTGGTCAAAAATGGAAATTCTGAGTGACAGCATCTTAAGCCTAAACAAATATTAGAAATTTGCATTTTAAATCTTTTTGTATTGAAGTCATAGATAAGAAGAACAAGAAAAGCACAAGAAACAGAAACCCTTTTGCTTTCACACCTCACAAACACACCAACATGCGCACAGCTGTCTTTTTCACTAGTTCACCATCTTGAGTGCTCAGTGAGCGGTGGGCCTGTGCTCATTGTTAATGGGATGTTAGAGTGTGGTTCTGAAAGTGTCTGTGGGCAGAGTGTAAGAACAGAACCACAGTTGGACAAACCACGCTGAGCGCAAAATGAGTGCAACAAAGCCACAGGAAAATGCACACATATACACAGACACACACACACACACGAACGCACCTGCCAGGTGTGTGAGGAGGCTGTGTGATATGGTGCCGACCAGTCTCAGAGAGCTGTGCTTCACAAATGAGTCAGAAGCAAATTCTGGTAACAAGCATGCCAGGAGTGAATATCTCCACTGAGGCCAGCCGCGCACGGCCACAAATGCAAAAGGTTTAAAATATTACTACACTCGTACTCAGCTAATTCTGTTCGTCTGTTTCAACAATCATTACTTTAATTCCTTATTTTAGACGATGATAGCTCCCTCAGCGATGACTGGAAATAAGAAGCATCGGTTACAACTTGAAGAGATCTGTATGGAAACTTGTGAGTGGGCTCTGCTGTTTGTCAAGTGTGCCTTTGGCAGGGCAGTGGAGGTAGTGATGGCGATGGGTGGCGGTGGTGGTGGTGGAGGGGGTCAGGGGGGGGGCTCTTGGCTGCTCTCCTCCCTCCTGTCAGCCCCCTCTCTCGGCCAGGCAGGCAGGCTGTGTTGGGCAGCCCGGCTCTCGGTAGCAGATGCGAGCCCTCATGTCAGAGGCAGGCAGTGGCCCGACGGAGTGCCGCTCGTGCTCATACCTCATTGAGCCATCTCCCCTAGCAGATGGCGCGCTGCTGCGGGCGCTCCTCTCCCCGATAATTACCAGGCCTCGCCACAGATGGAAATGTCAGTCAGCCTCACAGGTCCTGGTTCCTGCCACTGCCTCCGTCCGCGGCCCCTCTACCTAGGCCGGGCGCTGCCAACACTCACCATGTGTTCTGTGACTGCTGACTAGGCAGGCAACAAAAGAGAAATCCGCCCACATGAATATTCATGCAGGGATGTTAGGTGGCTTGCTGTAGACCAGACTGGGCACCAGCAAATAGTCGGCCAGGTGCGGGCTCTGACACCAAATTCAAACCTCTTTTTGTCTTCCACTTTTATACTGTGTCACTGTTCTTAGTTCATGACACAGAGCAGCAAAGTGTGCGCTGATCAATCTTATAGAGAAGGAAAGGTGAAGTGATACCTACTGCTTTGTACAGTTGTGAAATGACATATTTAGGAGATTAGGATAACTGTGTTTGCAAAATGGATTAATTCTAGCAGATGCCAGGACTAACCCCCACTTATCTGTGATAAGGTGACCAGATGTCTCAGCTTGGCAAAGGCAACACTCTCCGAGTTTTATTACTCGGCGCCAAAGCATCCCCCAGGAAATTTCTCCGTGCATTCACAGATAATCTACCTTCGCAGAGAACAAGGCGACAGGGTTTTGCTTCTTTGTGTATTTGTCCATGTAAGAATTTATGTGGACGTGTTGCCTGGTTGTGGAAAGCTCAAGCAGATTAAACTAAAGTAAATACCTTTGTGCCTTAGTGCCAACAAGGCAAAAGAAAAAGACAAGAGAATGCAAGCAGTGGCTTATTGGAAATATCACTTTGGCGCCTGTTTCTTATAATGATGTTTCCCAGTAGAAAACAACAAAGAAATCATTTACAGACATCTTAAATGAGCTCTGGTTCATTTGTTTCTCAATAGGAATCATTTACGCACATTTAGCATGTGTGTGTATGACTATAATTTCTAGAGAGACAGCCAGGGAGAAATATTGTTTGTGCAATCTTTGTTCATTCACCAACTCTTCATGAGAAAGTGGCTCAGATATATAATCTTAATATATAGGGTTTCTTGTCAGAAGAAAGAACATGCAGCTCTAGCTAGCTCATAAATATTTTAACTGAGAGTGCTGAAAAAAATCCATAACCACCTATTACAGGTGATGGCGGTAATAGCATGTCATTCTCAAACAATAACATTTTATCACCCATATGTCCCTTTATGTACTGAAATGTGAGTGTCTCAATAGTATTGTTACTGCACTTAACTGCAGGGTGCACTGTCTTACCACATTCAGCTTGGAGGTCACAGATGCTCACATGACAATAAGAAGTAGTTAACAGAAGAGTAGAAATGAGTCATAGTGGGGATGCATGTAAGTTAATGCAGTCTGTGTGGTCTTGCTATTTGCAGAGCACCACCGGCAACAGTTTGGAGTCCCAGCCACAGAGCCCACTGTGCAGGTGGTAAGGAGGCCGTGCTGCTGCAGAGCAATACACATAACAGCTTCAGACACGGATGAGGAAAGTCACATCTGCTCGCTGGAACTTATAACTACACTCTGTTGTGGTTTTTGCTATTGATTAGAATGCAGTAGTAAAATGTACAAAAAGCAGCTAAGAGACTAGGGAGATGATTCACAGTACAAAAATGAAAACCCAGAATCCTGAAAGCTATCTCTACAAATAAAGCTGATGATGCCATTGAACCAAGTCTTAACTACAAGACTCCAGACTGACCTGAAAACCAATGGCAGTCACCTATCCAGCTATCTTAATCTAACCGTACTTCAGTCACAGCTAAGCCAAGACTAATACCAATTCACAGGATGTTTATTATGTTTATTTAACCAGGGACAAAAACCTGTTGAGATTAAACATCTCTTTATCAGGAGTGTCCTGGCTAAGACAGGCAGCATTTTATACATATTGACCTCATTTAAATAATGAAAACACCATCCAGCTAGTTTATACTATTCGGAGTTGAGTCATAGTCTTAACCTAAACAAATTCAAGGCCTCATTCTGTCCTGTTTCCTGTTCATTTATTTAGATTACCAACATTAAACTACTTACATTTTTATACTGGTAGCTATGTGTAATCATAAGGAGAAATCAAAGTAACAATTAGGCTCCGCTAGCTAAAAGCTAAAGAGCCAAATTACAAAGAAACTACAAAACAGACCACAAAACAAAAATCCACCTGCTAGCTTGAACTAGCCGCATTGAGGTCAGAGCTAGCCTTGACCAAAACATTTATTTTGCCCTGTTTCCTGCTTATACATTTCTAAAAATGTAATTAGTTATACATTTATACCAATGGCTACTTGTAATTTAATAGAAAAAAGTAACATTTTTAACTTGGCTAGCAGAACGCTAACCAGCCAAAACAGATAGATATCAGAGGGACCTTGATTAAAAGGGTGTTTAGACTATTTGACTAAGCAGTCTGCAGATTTTAAAGCCTTGTGATCAATTTGATCAATTGCAGTAAGACAGTAGATAAAGTTTTGATAGTTGAGGGGTGAAGACGTATCAAATTCAACTTTAGGATTCATTTCAGCCCAACAGCAAGTCCTCGCTCGCTCTTGCTAAGCAGACTGAGAAATGAAACTTGAAAACATATGATGCAACATGAGCGCAACACAGTCAGCATAAAATAACAAGAAGAATCCAACCTCTCCTCGAAACTGAAACCTGCCTCGATGATATTCTCTCCAATGCCGTGTCAAGCATGAAAAAGTGTAAGAGATGCTTTTGTTTAAAAAAAACGCTCAAAATCCTATTATCAACTCAACAAAGGAGAAGATGTATAGACAGGAACGTACGCTCACATCATCTGTCTGCATGTAGTTTGAATTATTCAGCATTTCGCAACCACTTACAAGGCCTTTGTCAGACCAATAGAGTGGCAGTGGGCGATATAACCTCTGATCATAATTAAAAGTGCTCAATTGAGACTCAAGATATCACATCTTTGTGTTGTACAGATGCAGTTCAACAGAATGGCAACAGTCTGCCTCCCTTTTCTCTTTCTTCTTTTTGTCTTGAGCTGACAAAGCTGGCCCCTCATTTCCATTCTGCCCATTATGTAAATGAGGCCGGATCACATATTGGTTCAAATGAGTAAAGCAAGTGCAGAGGCCAGGCTTCCTTTAGGACCAAGTGGAAATTTGCACTTAAAAGCTATTTTGTGTGCTAAAACAATGGCCCAGGTGCTGTGCCCTTGACCAAGGGCTTTATCGTCTCCTGTGAGGCAGAAAGTTGGTGTCACACCTGTTTCAGCCCCTTTTTGTCAGCTCCTGGCTCGGCTCATTCAGTCTGGCTGACAATTGAGTACAGATGATGCTGTCAAAATGAATTAAAGGTTCCACTGCTTTCCAACCCCTCCACTTCACTTCTGAGTGATAGCACATTTAATGCTTGTTAGAAGTTAGTGTTTTGTGTACATATTCAGGATTGCTATAATAAGGCTGAAAAATCTTGTGTTGTTAAGCTTGCGCTTGTTAAATATTCTACATCTTCATTAACTGCTTATTGTTGTCAAGGGGGCTCTGCGTCTGAAAGATTAACAACAGAGGCCATATGTTATTTGTTGCCTGGTAGGATTTTCTCTCCTCGTACAATCCTGTTGTTTGTCTATGGACAAAGCTAGATCAGAAAGATTAGCACCCATCACCTCATGCATTCAATCAGCAAATTACATCAAACCTGATCAAACAGTACTGACTTCTGGCACCTTACCAAAGAGAAATCACTCCTCTGAGCATTTCCCCTCATAATTTGTCAGAAAGCTGATGATATTAGTGTAAACAGCGGAGCAGGCGCCCTCATTTCCAATTTCAAATAAAAAGAAAATGATAAAATCACTGCTGCTCCTGGTTATAAACTCTGAACACGTGAATGCATTACTACTGACTTTTGACTCTTTTCTGAGAATATCACTAAGCAATCTAAAATAGTTAAGAGAGCAAATCCTTAATAATAGCTATCTATCAATTGAATGATTTATGCAGAGTTATAGCATGATTAACATTTGTATCAGTGACTGACTACAGTGACATTCTTTATATGCATACTACCTCATCCTCAATTAAATTGTTGGACTCAGTGTGAACCATGGCGCACCGTCTCCCGTTTGGTTTTTGTACATATCGTTGCGTCTTGTACAAGTGAGTAGGTTTGTCTTCCTTGTACAACTGAAGGATGGAGCATTGGTACGTTTTTCTTTATAAGGCCATACTACATGAATTGCCTTCTTATTTATGTTCTCTGCCGATTCCTAAAGCAGTCAGCAGCTATAGCCTTCGAGGACTCATCATGTATGTCATTCCCTGAACTTGCTCTGTCTTTGGTGAAAGTGCTTTTAGTGTGTTTGCTCCATCATCTTAGTCTGAATTAGTCACCTTAAACTAGAGCCTTTATTTAGCTTAGAAAATGTAAATTCTAACTTTTTGACTTGCTTTAATGAATGACAAATGATGTGTAAATGAATTACCTTCAGAAGTGCTAACATAAAAAAAAAAATGTCAGCCCTAGCTAGCTGCATGCCCCTGTTTCAAATCATTGTGCTACGCTAACTGTCCGGTTTCATAATAATCAGGCAGTCGCAAGAGAGGTAACACTCTTCTTATTAAACTCACAAACTCTGTGTTTGATAACCGTAGATCTTTTTATCCTCGGGGAAGGAAGTTAAAGGATATCCATAGCTTTTAAAATACTTAAGAGTATGATTTGTATTAGGCCTCAAGAAAAATAAAGCGAATAACCATTTACATGCATTTTGGATTCAGGGGTTAACATTTTGTCTTCTCATCGGGTCTAAGTCTTAAATAGAAGTTAAGTGATGTCAGTTCTGAAGTGAAAACACATTCAGCTACAAATGTCCCTCCGGGGTTTGTGTATAATTATAATTTTGAACAAGCTTGATAAGATAAGGTGGAACAATGGTTTTAATAAATGCTTAAAATGAGTTTTTAACTTGCTGGAGACATTTTTTTTTTCTTTGGATGAAAGAACCTCTTTATCAACAATCAAACTATGCAATTAACATTGGGCAGAGATAACGCATAAACAGTCTGAAAGTGAAAAGCTGTTCTGTGGTGCTTATTGCAATGGCATTGCATTGCACACACCAAAAATTCATTTCAGTCCAAATATCACATGCACTTGTTTTTTTTCTTCTGCAATCTGCACTGCACTAAGGGCCTGCTGCTTTCACAACCTGTCCTGAAGGGAGAGCGAGCGAGACAAGCTGTCTGTAAAAGGAGAGAGCAAGCGAAAACAGGAAAAAGAAAAAGTGAGTAGTTCAGAGTGGGTGTGCGTGTGCGACTGGGAGAAAGTAAGAGTTGGGTGACCTTGTTACCAGTTGGGTTGAGTTGGACAGGCTGGTAGGAGGTTGCTGTCTACGGGGAGGGACAGACAGATGCTCGCTCTTCTCCCTGGGCAAAACATCTCGCCTGGTGCAGGCAGCACACAATCTGGCCCGGGCAGCTGTAACCCTAATGATCACTGGTGGCGCTGCACCTGACCGACCGACCAGCTCCACGCTCACTCAGCCCTCCCTTTCTCCTTTCTCCTCTCCACTCCACTCCCCGGCCCCTCAGTCTCCTCTTTGACCTCCAACGCCTCCGAACTTTGGGTGGAAACTAGTTGCATTCAAAAAACAAAGGAAGAAAAGAAACTTAAATTAGTTATAATTTATAAATTCATAGCAACTTTAGGTGGAGGTTGAGGATGGATAGGATGTTAATCAAGAGGACAAGACAAAGATGGACTTATTCTTCTAGATTTGAGATGCATGAAGAAAAAGGATCAAATGAGTGATCAATGCAAACCTGTATGGGATTACAAGAAAATTATGTTATTTTCTTTGTTTGTTTTTTTAAATAGATCAAGCAATAAAGTGGGAAGAAATGGGGATACTGAGGAGGGGGGCTGTAAGGAGCTCCCATGCTACCTTCCTGCTACTACTGATCCAGTCTGAGCTGCTTATCGGGTCTCTCCCACACCGCTCTCTGGTGTTAGAGCTCAAAGTCCTGGGGCTCAGACTAGCTGCATGGAAATGTGCCTGGCTAAATGTACAGCGAGTATTCATCGATGGATGAGTGGAGATGAAGAACTAAAAGGATGTATATCTACTGTAGAAGATGGCTGAACAATGACCGGCCTTTCAGATACAGAACATGTGTGGCTCCAGTACATTCAGATCAAGTGATCAGATGTTATTTTTGGATTGGTTTATGAACAAATCTCTGGTACACTTCAAAAGAAGACCTGGGTGCAAGAAGAATTCAATGTCTTAAAGTTGCATCGTCAAACATTTTTAGTTTTGTGCTGAAGAAAAAGAAAAAGTCATGTAAATAAAAGAGTGATCAAAAAAACAAAAACTGATCAAATCTTTTCAGGTCAATTCAAAAAGTGATGTTATAGAAGTCATCTCATATTGGAAGAGTGTGCATGAAAATGTATATAGTATGAAAGTGGCAGCTTTGCATTACTTAATGAGCTTTACTTAACTTTCTAAATCTGTGCGGTTTTAATCACATACTTTTTGCTTATGGCAACTTAAGTAGTAAGCTTTAGTACTGACTCCTCTGCAAAGTAAAGATTAGCTTACTAAATACACAGGAAAGAGATTAAGACCTCAATAATATTCAATACTAAGTCTAAAATGATGGCTATAAAAAATGAAACAGAAAAAAACGGATGAGAGTCGTTTAGATGTATTATTTAACTGATGCATATTTTTCATATTTCAGAGGAATTATGGCTTTACAAACATGTTTTTTGTTCACTGGATGAATTATGAGTTGTAAGACTCCTAATCCATATTAATCAAAGCTGAGCCGTTGTTTTTTTCCAGCATGCATCCCACACGTCAACTTCCACACATTGTACATAAAAGGTCATCCAAAACACCCTCCTGTTGTAAACATTTTAATCTCAATTAATCCTTCATTCAGCTAATCACTCCTTCCAAGCATTACAGTGACACAGTGTGATTTAGATGTGCATGGGAGACAAAAAGATCCTCTGCTTCATGAGACTCAAACATGAGGAAAAGGGAATGATGGAAGATTTGATTTTTGGTTTCAGTGTACTTTTTGTACTTTCAAAAGGGGGTGCTAGTTATCTTCATTTGACTTCTCTGCCTGTGATACACTGAGTGAGTTACAGGCAAAGCAAGACGGAAAGGCAGAGGACAAAGTGTGATAATAGACGGGTATATTTTAGTTATATTTGAAAAACATGTTTAAGATATATATTTTCAATCTTTTCAAATTGTATTAAAAAAAAATAAAGAGGTAAAATCTCCTCAGTCAGCATTTTTCTCCTCTCTTTATCTCAGATTAACACTTTTTGCTGTCCACAAAGAAGACCCATTGGAAGTGTGTGTGTGTGTGTGTGTGTGTGTGTGTGTGTGTGTGTGTGTGTGTGTGTGTGTGTGTGTGTGTGTGTGTGTGTGTGTGTGTGTGTGTGTGTGTGTGTGTAGAAAGAGAAGAAGAGCTGTGGATGCTAGAAAGAAAGAGACAGAGAGCATCTGTGAGTGAGCGAGAGGAAGCGGGGTGAGAGCTTGAGAACGGGGGGATCGTGGTCGCGAGTGTGTGTTTGGAGATCGTCCTGGGCCAAGAATGTGTCCGTGACTGCTGCTCTGTGTATCTGCCTCGCCCGGGTGACACCAGTGACACAGACATTACCCAGCAGCCTTCTTGCAGTCCTGAGCCTCTGCCGCTCTTCCGGTAGCCTAACTATACACACACACACACACACCACCATCGCTACACACTATCTCTCTGTCTTTCCCCTCTCTAGGCCAGGCAACAGGCTCTGTGTTAGCATAAGCAGACCAGGACTGTCAGAACCATATGACCCCGGCAGGGCTTCTCAAACTGTGCTGCTGCTGCTCTTCAAGCATTCTCTGCCGGCCAAGACTGCTCATGTTCACTGTATGTTCTCATACACAACAGTCCCTCTGCTAGGGCTTTCTTGTGCGTCCATCAGTGGGTTTGTGGGAGCTCTATATGCAGGCCTTGTGCCACTGAGACATCAATTAGATACATGTTGTAGTTGGCTAATTTAAACCACTATATGGTCAAATAGGAGAACATTAAAGTTAGTTAGAAAGTAATACATCTGTTGAAGATATTCCAATAGTGATATTACTGATTGGTATTGGCCTCTGATACAACCTTAAATACACCAATCCAATCTAATAATTATGTCCTAACAATGTTACCGTACTGGTAGCCATATTAATACAGATACCAATAACGAAACCATTAATAGTGTCAACCTCTTGCACTGCTGAAAATCAGTTGAGCACTCCAGTCATAGCGCCAACTGGAGGCAATAATTTATTATTCCCCAAAACCAATAGGTTTAAGGCAAATGATTGTCCAACAAATAAATAAATTAACAGTGTCGTACTCTCCATAAATTATATGTATTTTTCAAATCCTTCCAGTATCAGCGAGAAACTTTACACTAAATGATACTCAAGTCAAGGTTTCAAAATTATCAGAAGGTAAAAATGCTGTCACAATATCTCTAGCATCTACATTGGGAAATGTTGCTGTATCGAACTTCTTCAGCAAATTATCAAAAACAGAAGGATTTCTTCAATACGGAATGTTTTCCGTATCATACAGATGGTTGTCAGATGATGGACAAACAGAGAGGCAGCCTCAAGACGCTTTAAATCCTCAAGCTCAGATCTGGACAGAGTTCACATCCTCCTCCAGCAGCCTGGCTGTCTATCTGCCATGTTTTCTTTATCAGCCCCCTCGTCATCCAGCAGCCCTGCACATGACCAAATTAGTCCCAGTATCAGCCGTTATCTGGCTCCCGGTGGCCTGCATGCCTGCCTGACCAGAATCGCCCTCTTCCCAGCACTCTGCTACGCTGCACTGGCTGCTCGGGCCTGAGGAAACCCAGGCTACGGATCCCGGGGTTTGAGCCTCAACAGACTCCGCAGAGCTCCAGCAAACGAAAAAAAAGGCCTTGCTTCCTTTTAAGGCGGCTTGCCTTCCTTTGGTTTATAAATATATGAGATATAAATTATATATTTATATAGCAAGTGAGGGTCAGTCGGTTCTCTGAGGTAAAATAATAAGCTCTGGGAAGGTGGAGGAAAATAATAAATGAGATTGTAGAAGTGTAGACCTGGGGATATTTGCTTACTTTAGGTTCTGCCGGCAGCAGATGTACACCGACCTTGTAACTTTGAGTTTGTGGAATGGCTGTGCTCAGTGGACGCCCTGGCAGAGTGCGCTCTCTCCTGCATAAGCAAAGCCGAGGGAAGATTAGAATTTGCACTTGGCTGGCATTACTACATGAGTCACTCATGCCCTCCATGTGACGTCTTAAGTAAGTTTCAAGTAGCAAAGTCTCAAAGTAGAAGATTAGCCACTGGCATATGTATTCATCTTAATTCATGTAGTATTTTTCTGCTTGGTACTTGGAGCTCCACAGTCCCACGACCTTAGGTGCACTGGAGATTAGTTTTAATTTCAAAAGCACTTTCTGAAAAACTTCTCATGTTTAATTAGAGGAGCTGAAAAAGCAGGGATAAAAGAGAGTATGAAAAATTGATATAAAGAATTCCTACAGCCTGTTCGTTTCATGTGATATTCAGGGTAAAAAAATATCTTAAGTGTAGTTCAAAGAACATACAAACAGGAGCACGCGAGTACATGCATAGCACCAAACACATGCAAATGCATACATACACACACATACACAAGATGCTACAGAGGCCCAACAGAGACGGGAAGAGTGTGTGTCAGGGGGACAGGAGGGATGCAAAGAGGTGCCAAAGACCACAGCACACTGTCTGTGCCAAGCAGAACTGAGCGCCCGCTGCCATCCAAACATAAATAAAGTGCTTTTGGCTCCCTGCAGCCACCAGTGTGTGCCGTGCATCCGCCAAGCATGGTTTTTTTTTCTAACAAAGTTAAAAACAGGACAAATTTGATGCAATCACTTGCTGGAAATAAATATGTGCCACATCTTGGACGGATAGGGTGTGAATCAGATGGTCGGTCAGTTATTAAGTTTCGTAACATAACTTCAGGATAGATTTCCTCTGCAGCCTTGGAGGGAGAAGACTCAAATTGGGCACATCACAGAAGTTTCTCCATATTTACTTCTTGCAGCTATGCAGGATGCCAACAGGAGAAGCACATATTGAACCATATGAAAAACGTGCTGAATGTCTTTACTGGAGAGTTGTGATTTATATTCTAAAGAACTGACCAATATTTGGTGGGATCGACTTTGTAGATTCAAGTCTTTGTAACAAAAAAAAAAAATCAGCAAATCACAGAGACAAAAATCACAATTTCTGTTTGGTTTGTATGTAATTTGCCAGTGAATCAGATGCTGTGTTTGTAAGTATGTGTGGGTGTATACGCAAGTGTGCGCGGGTCCCGTTCCAAAGAGCCCCAGGCTCTATTCCCACTCTTCGCCCTGACTGATTATGGCCTTGATCTGTGTTGCTTATTGAACGACGCTCACTGCTGTCTGTGCCCTGGCCCATGACTCTTGGGCGGGGAAAAGAGGCATATTGCCATATCAACATCGCTCTCTCCCTGCCAAGGAGCTGACCTGCCACTCACACCATCAGCCGGATTCACTCTGTCTCTGCCCCATCATCTCCTCACCTCCGTCCATGCCACTTCTGTTTGCTCACAGATAGCTCCCTGCATAAATAGAAGGGTATAAAGCCCCATAAGCCCTTGCTCCACTCCTCACCCTGTTTGGTTACTAGTGACTTTAATACCTTGAGATCAAAGTTGCGCAGAGGGTGTAAATCCCAGGAATAAGCTGGAGGAATTCATAGTGGCAACAGTCACTGCTGCTAACACTCAGATGCCACGTTGCAATAACACTTGGAAGACATATGTAAGCCAGCAGCATGTTGATGTACAAAATCAGGTCGAATTAAGAGAGGCAAAATATTCCAAAAAATGCTAAAATATAGAAATTATGCCAAAGTCTAGAAATAATATTTACTGCATGACTGTATGGATGCTCTCTTTGCAATCAAAGCTTCTGTGTAATGTAGACTTTCAGGCTGGGTGTCAGCTTACACAAACTGCTTAAGTGAAATCCATCTCCTCCATCCGAGGCTGTGGGAGCTAACTGCCCACTGTCTGGCTAGCTGACTGGTTAAGTGAAACCCCGACCGGCATGCGATCGCTCTGATGTGGGGATTTCTTCCGGCACTGGACACGCAGCTCCATTCCGGAGGAGTGACTCCAACAGGAAGTAACACATTAACAGAACAATCAAGTTCCTTGTTAGGGAGCTTAACACCGCCAGAGACTGCCATTAACACCACTGGGGGATCTGGTCAGCTGATAAGGTCTGACAGAAGGAAGGCACAGTATAGGCTTTTCATGTTACAAGGAATTGTAAGCTCAGACTGAGACCAACCAGGGCTGAATGTTTTTGAATCTTTTGGATTGTTTATTCTTAAAAGGGCTTAAATTAAAAAGGTTGAATGTAAAAGGATATGTGAGCACATATGCAAAGGTCAGTCAGAGAGGTTTGGAAACAGCTGCATTAGCATTAATGTCTTGGCATGTTTATTTTTAAAGAATGAATCTGTCTGTGAATGCCATGAAAAACTAATTTAACTGATGCTATGATATGATGTAACTATTATCAGTGTTGCCAAAGCCTATTGTTCCTTGCCCTGAAGGAGAAATACACACTTTTGTTACCAACAAACATTTGCACTGAGTGGCATTTTTAGTCATAGTGAGCACCTACAATGTAATTTATTTTGAGTCAATTTAACAGACACCTTCCTTTTCACAAAAATACTCACTGGCATCCAAATTCTTTTATGTAAACAGTCCCCATAAGATTTCACTTTTTACTCCGGTTCGAGCAATATTTAATAAAAAACGGTTTAATTCATGTAATAAGGTATTTATTGGCAAAACACATTTTTAAACTATTAGTCTGGATGACCTAATGTGGGGGAGGAGAGTTTAGAAAAATATTTAGAGACAGAAATGCACATTTTTTTATTTGGATCCTTTCATGGCCTCCCGACTTAATAAGAGATACGTCTAATAAAGCAAATGGTTGGGAGTATATACATGATACACTGGAACACACAAAACCACTGATGACATTTTTCTCTCTTTAAGGTATCATTAATGTACATAAACACAAATCAACTGCTTCTGTTAGCATGTTAATACTGAAGCAAAGTGCAGGAGTGAGGAGATGTAACTTTAGCTTCTGGTTTTCATTAAGCATTGCATACATTAGTCTAACAAAACCTTACCCTGATGATGTCATGTATTCAATGCAAAATCCTTCAACTTGCTCAAACAATACAAATTTTCTGTGGCAAGCTGTTATGGCTAACACTAATTAGATATCGCCAAACTCCAGAGACTGATAGCAACGAGATGCAAATCTTCCCACATTAAAGCTGATTCAGTGTTTGGCATAGCTGCAATGCTACTGCTGAGATAATTCTGTTATGTTCTTGTCAGATAACATTCATTTTGACATTTGTAAGACTCCCAGAGCTTCTTAAAAATTCTTATCCAAGGGGGTATTTGCTTTTCAAATATTTATTATGGAGGCAGATATTTAGAATATTCAATGTAGTATCTGCAGTGAGGGCTGTGTATATATTGTGGAGATGATGATGGGACTTTTTGTCCCACATCCAAGGACACCAGATAAACCTGTCCCACCTTGCTACCCCTCGTCTCCAGGCTCCATGCAACCCTTGGAGACGAGGAGACCACAGCTGTATGTGTGGCAGGTGGACTTCCTTTCTTTGTAATTAGAACCAAATTAGGTTAAACTGCAGTTCTTCCCCCAGCCCACAGTCCACAGAGAGTCTCTGACCCTGCACCTCCAGGCACACAGAATTAGCGCGGCCACACACTGGGAGCCTAATGGACGACCGTGTACACCCCGGCTGCTACTAAGTAACACCCTGCACCTGCACATATCACACATCCCATGCTCTCTCATCATTAAACATAACATTATATAGCTCCTGAGTGTTAACACAGTAGGGCTGCTGCTGCTGTTGTGGTTGTGCAGGTGGGGTTGGGATGTGAATGAAAGCTGGGGTCCTATTGGTGTGAGATGGAGTCTTTATTTTGGGTGTGAGGTAGAGCTCTAATTGAAGACTGATGGATTTACATTAATTTCCTGCTCACACCTGCCTCCTTTATCTGCTCTCAGATAGCACAGGAGCGATGGGTCTGCTGGCAGGACTGCCAGCCTTTCTATTATGAATAATGGGCAGAGCTGCGCGCATGCCTCTCTTCAACGTACACAACCACACAGAAACGGTATTATTCAGTGCGGTTGAGCACAGTAGCAAATGTACCTGAGAAAGTGTGAAGCCAGCGTGTTTGGGCTGCCAATAAAAAAAAAGAACAGAACAGGGAAGAGGACAGGTGCAGCCCCTCTCCTGCTGTTGTGTGTGTTCATACCACACAGCCCAGATTCGGTCGACAAAATGAGCAGATTTTTCAAGTGACAACACTGCAAACAAAAGTAACTGAAATAAGTTTGTTCAAATTTGGCCGTTATCCAGGGCGTATGAGCGATAACAAACCATATTACACAGCTGCATTGAAAACTCGATTCCAGATGGAAAATAAGAGAATTCTAAGGTGTGAGTTTTTCATTTATCAGACTGCTGCGATAGGAAACACAAAATGTTGTTCAGGAAGAATCTCTGATCCAGCCTGGTTCAGTACTACATTTCCTCATATCCACCCACAGAAATAAGTCCAGCAATAAGTCAAGTACATTTGATGAATATGCTGTTCAAGTAACTCGATAACTTTCATGATGTCTGCTTCTCCCTTCTTTTCTCTTACTTCTTCTATGTGCAATCCCATTTTTACTAGTGTCACATATTCTTCTACCTACCAATATATTTATATACCAGTGTAGTAAGGGTGAAACAAAACACAGAATCTGCCATATATCGTCAACCTTGCTCTGGAGATACAGTTACCATATCACTGGTGCCTAATATTGAATAAAAAAAGTGCAATGTAACTTCATGACTCCTCACTCTAGTGCTTCAGACCTGAATGAGGGTACAGTTATCAGAAGTTGAATGACCGAAGAAGAAGCTGACATTGAAATAAGATAAGAAGAAGAAGAAGACAGTGTGATAATGTTGGACAGGGATGAAAAGAAGCAAATAGATGATTGTGATTTGATGTGAAATTGACTCTTAATTTCTGTAAATAAATACATTAACCTGAAACTAAATCTTTAAGGCACATAATATATTCTTCATTTCATCATATATCCAGATGTCTTATATAGAAAACCTGTGTGCTAATATTATTGTTATTGTGGGCATATTGGTATCATCTCTGCTTCTCACATCCCTATTTTTATCTTCTTGTGATATATATATATATATCTCTCTCTCTCTACTATTTTCTACAACTGGTGGCATGTATTTAACTACTAATACAAGCTATTGTTTGACTACTGCAGTATGTTTTTCTGGAGCAATATGCCCTTTTATTACGTGCAATATACCGTAAGTTATGTATTATGCATTTACATGATATACAGTGCGGTATACATTGTTTTACTTGCATGTATGTTTTGCTATGTCGTGGATGTTGTTCACTTCATGTGAGATATAACTTATTTTTTGTAACTCTAGAATGAAAATAAAGGCTTTCTATCTCCTGGCATGTTCTGTCCTTGTCGTCTATGTATCGCTTACCTGGTGCTGCCATCATCGAGTGTTGATTCCAGTCTGTTTTCTTTATCAGCTTTGAAATAGATTTTTTTGATTTAGTCCCCCTTCAGAGTATTTTAGTTTAAGTTGTTTGAGGATTTCAGAGTGGTTAAATGAGGAACATCACACAGTTCATGATGGAGCAGAAGGTAATGTCAGTTGCGTAAAAAAGAAAAAAAGTTGAGAACCAATTCGCAGGAAATTTAAATTCTATTTATTTAAAGCAAAAAAAGCAAAAGGCTTACCTTAAAAAAATAAAAATAAATTAAAATCCAAGTTAAAATCCAAAAGGAGAAATGAAGGAGCCAAGAGAAAACACTGGAAAGAGGAACTAAGAGGGAAGGTACACAGACACTAAACACACAGGAGCTAATCAAAACCAGGTGTGAGAAACAAGACACAGGTGAAACTAATGGGGGCAATCAAAATGGAGGGGAAACAACACAAGAACCGCTGGGAACAAGAACTCCAAAATGAAACAGGAAAGACACACAGAGAACTCAAGAACATGAAAGTAACAATACACACAAGAGTGAAAAACACGGGGCGCCGGATAGCCTAGCGGTTATGTTGCATGCCTCATGTGCAGTGGATACAGTCCTCGTCACAGTGACCATGTGTTTGAATCATATGGTGTTGTAATTTAAGTACATTAAGTAAAATAGATAGTTTCCTTATTTAGAATTGCAGCAATGCAACGCTAATTCTGTTAGACAGTGAATGGCATATTCCAGTGTGTTTTAGCATCAAGCTAACAAACTAAAATTTACATCTAGGTACATCTGTGAGAAATTGCCCCCCCCTGCGGAGAACAATGCACGAGCCGCCACGGACACTAACTAACTCTGCATTAGCCGGCACATGTGTCACCCTATCAAAGCCACAAGTTTGAAGTTACTGTGTTTAATCAAAGGGAACTTAAAACTGTCCCTAATTTGTCTGTTTGGTGTTTGGGGGAAGCCTGACCTAACGTGGAGTCTTGAGGCTTGGATGTCCAAGGGCTAATAGTGAAGAGCCCTGAGATGTCAAATGTGACTGACAGAGCTAACTGCTCCACAGAGATGACAAAACAAACTGCTCTGTGTGGGAAGTCAGGGAAGGGAGGGTGAGAAAGAGAGGGAGGAAGGGGAGGGGTGGAAGCTGTAGGAAAAAAAAAAAAGAAACGATGGAAAAAAGAGGAGTATAATATCTCCTCCAATGGTTCGGGGCAGACCCCACCAGCTGGAGAATAATTGCTGAGTTGGGGAAGGGAGAGGGGAACAGGCTCACATGATTGACTTGTCATTGATCATAATCTTAATTGCATGCATCCAAATCCCCTGGGTGTGATTTGTCCACTTGGCTCGTGTGTGAGTGAGTGCGAGGCTGTGAGTGTGTTTGTGTTTGTGTATGCATGTGTGTGTTTATTTGCATGTCCAGGAGCTGGTTGTTTGAATGTTAAGTCCCAATTAGGTGTTGAAATAAAGAACACTTAAAGATATCGAGCAGAAGAGTTTGGGGAGAGTGTTCTCTTTGTGACACATTTGGCCCTTTAAAGGCTGAATTAGATGTTCTTTTAGAGACTAATTGAACTAAATCACCTTTATATATAACTTTATGACATAATTAAGACCTGAAAATAACAACACACATTTTTCACCCAGATTTCCACATATTTTGTAAAAACCAGTGCCATGATATACAATGAAGGGCTGAAACTGAATTCCTGTAGCCTCAGAGGAAAGAGTATCCAAAAATGATGCTTTAGCTTTTTGTTGTTGTTCAGAAATGATCCCACTGGGGCGCTGGTGGCGCATTGGTTAGTGCGCGCACCCCATGTACTGAGGCTATAGTCCTCCAAGCGCGCAGCCCAGGCTTGAATCCGACCTGTGGCTCCTTTCCCGCATGTCATTCCCCACTCTCTCTCTCTCTCTGATTTCTGACTCTATCCACTGTCCTATCTCTACAATAAAGGCACAAAACGCCCAAAAATAAATCTTTAAAAAAAAGAAATGATCCCACTAAAGGCCCAGATGTAAAATACCCTGTTATACTATTTGATTGAATCACAGGGTAAAATTGTTATGTGATAAAAAAAAAAAGAAAAGTACAGAACAATCCTTGTATTGCTTAGCTTCAATAGTTACAGTTTAGAAATATATCTGAGTGTCAGGATCCCATGGTTTTCTTACTTTTGATAACTCTTGTGCCTTATATGCGTGTCTTCTTCACAGCTCACTTATTGTGTGTTATTCTTTTGAAAACTTAGTTTCTGGTTCTTAACCTGGTCTGGTGTTAATTCCTCCAAATAGCAGCTTTTAAGCACTTTTAATCATTTGTTAACATGTGACGTTAAGAAATAAGCCCCTTCACACAATAGAAAACCAAGAGATAGCGGTTTATTGGTTTCCACTGTGGGCGGGACTTCATTGCGCTCTGTATCAACAAGTAAAATAAAAAGACCAATACAACTCTGTCTGCACGTTACATTTTAAACTAACGCAAACAGCCAGTAAGCTTAGCATACTAGAAAGCTTAGCAAAGCGTAAAGTGTAGGTTTGTCCATTGGTAGCACACTCGGCACATTAAAAGCTTTTAATATGACACTTTTTTGGCTCTAGAGCAGGGATGGGCAACTTTGGTCACAGCAAGGGCCACATTCATTTAATTCCACTGCCAGGGGGCCAAATTGTAGGATACAAAAACAATTACAGTCAATTATGTCTCCAATTTAACTCAACATATACCAGTGATCAAATATTATTATGGACATATTTCTGGTTTTCATGATTTCATGGCAGATTTTGTCATGTTTTTCTTCATGTTTCCAATTAATTGATATGTAAAAGTTGACCCGAGGGCCACGTTGAGGGCTGATGATGTGGCCCCCGGGCTGCCAGTTGCCCACCCCTGCTCTAGAGAGTCGAAGAAGTGCTGGTAGATCCAATCTGTCTTTATGCTAAGCTACAGTATGCTAACTGGCAGTAGCTTGTATGTGTATCCTATCAAAGGATACCAGACTCTGCACCTAAGCCATGGCCATCAAGCAAAAATAAAATCCCCCAAAATAAAAGTATTGCTTTGAACATTATGATGATTTAAAATTAAATATATTCTCGCAATTGATTTAGAAATATATTGTGTAAACCTACAGTAAATGTGCCTTTAAATGTATAATGAGAGAGACTTATAGAGAAAGTCCAGATTTCTAAGTCTTTGGATGATCACATTATAACATATAACTGCAGCTACAACAACTATGATCTTCAAGTTATTTAAGTCCAATTTTCTCAGACAATGGATCTTTTATGGGGAAAGCCTTAAGACATACTTGACTGCACTATAACGTAACCCTTTAAGTGGTATAATAAATGGACATGCATTACGGAATTTATGAGGCAGTTGTGTGCATTTGAGGGAGTAAGATTCAATGTAATAATTCACAGATGTTTCAAAACACAAACTGTTAGCTTGATACAGCAACTTTTTTTTTGATTGGCCGGGTTAAAAAAAAAAAAGGCAGTGAAGCGTCCATGGAAATGTCAGGCAATTCTTACATGTAGTTTGATGAGTAAGTGAACCCACTGATTCACCCTGATTTCCAAATACAGTATGTATATGTTTCATATTAGTGGCCGACAGAAAATGATCAGAAAATGATCTCACCCACTCTCTCTCTCTCGCTCTCGCTCTCTTACACACACACATACATACAAACACACACACTAAAGAGTCAGCTTTCTTCCCATGTGTGTTCTTGTTTTATGGAGGGATTGATGTGTGGTTAAAAAGCGATCCTAGAGTGAGAAACTGACCTTTCTTTAATGCTTTCTTTTAACATTTGCACAAATGGGATTTTCATGAACAGGCTCTGGTGAGCATTAAAACAAAGGCCAACAACTGGAACAGTATTGCCAATGCCAATGGAATTACTGCATGACTAGCAGGAAAATACATACACCACCCTGTTCTATTGTACACACTTGGATCACTGGCACAAAACCATTAACTGACACTGGGGGAAAACATCTGTAAAGCTTGGCAGCCCTCCTTGAAGTACTTAAACTAAATTTGTATATATCTTGTTACTTTTACCTAATTCAGAGATTAGAAAATGTGTTAAGAATGTGTTTACTTAAAAAGTTCAGTCTTCTGAGTTTGTATCTGAATGTGGAGTTCATAGCAGGTGATGTTTCTGTGTGTGAGGAACCTCTTTGGGCTCAGCTGTGGGACCACAGGAGGGTCTACAAACCACCAAGTCATGAGACGTTTGACACTACATAACCATATGTTTTTCACGACAAAAAAATGGCTGTTACTGTGAAAAGACAATGTAAGAGACATTTTCATTCAAACATAAATTTGGCTGTTTTTATTACACAGTAATGATCACAAAAAATATATTTTTTAGACCCTGAGGTCATTTAATAAGAAATTTTAAAATATATGATTAAATGAAGTAAAAATAACATACATGTGGGGTCAACATTATGATACAGTCAGCAAAATTACCAACTGTATATCTCAAAGGGATAGTTTGCTATCTTTGCAGTGGGGTTTGTCAGTGCTGATCAGTGCGCTCCAGGAGGATGAACACGTACGTATGCGGTACACCAAAGTAGTGCTCAAATTAGTTGACTTGCTGACGATAAAGTATAGTGCTGAAAAATGTCTTAATAATGATACACTTGTTTTCAGGTCGGGATTTCTTAAAATTAGCTTACAAGGTAAAAATGAGTACGTCTGCATAGTTGTATAGCATAGCCAGGAGCTGGCACGCTCTTTAAGGGGGGCCTAGCGAACCAGCATCTCCTGTTGCTGATATACTCACTATTGACAAGTACCTCACACAACGCCACCTTAAAAATACCAGATTATCCCTTTAATTTAGCAAATCTGGCAATTTGTCTTAACCCCAAATTAGGATTTTTTGTCCATTACTATTAACTTATATCAGATCTGTCAAAAACTCTGCAAATTAAACGTAGAGTTACTTATGTGGGTGAACTGACCCTCTAAACACATTAACAGGAGGATAGCGAGCTCAATTGAAGATACTCCTGTGTGTAGAAATGCATGAGCACGTTTGCAAGTTATCATGTGAGAGAGAGAGAGAGAGAGAGAGAGAGAGAGAGAGAGAGAGAGAGAGAGAAAGACAGCGTATATGTGCGTCAGCTGCCCGAGAGAAGCTGGAATCAGGACAAGGTTAATGTTCTATGACAGACAGAAGCCAGCAACTCTCTTTAATGTTGCTCCCATTAGGGCGCTCCCGGTGCTCACATCCCACTCTAGCATCCTTTAGAAGACGCCTCTGCCAACAACTGGTGGGAGAGCAGCA